GAAACCAAAGTCTTTGGGTTCCGGGGGAAGTATGGTTGCAAAGCTGAAACTTAAAGGAATTGACGGAAGGGCACCACCAGGAGTGGAGCCTGCGGCTTAATTTGACTCAACACGGGAAACCTCACCAGGCCCAGACACCGGAAGGATTGACAGATTGAGAGCTCTTTCTCGATTCGGTGGGTGGTGGTGCATGGCCGTTCTTAGTTGGTGGAGCGAGTTGTCTGGTTAATTCCGATAACGAACGAGACTCTGGCCTACTAAGTGGTCGACGGATCTCAGAAAGTGAATTGTCCCGATTCGCAACCTTCTTCTTAGGGGATGGCAGCAATTCCTGGCCGCACGAGATTGAGCAACAACAGGTCTGTGATGCCCTTAGATGTTTCTATAGGCCACCGCAGCGGCATCACTCAGAGGATCAGCGGTTTTCCCCCCTCGAGAGGCGGGTGGCTCCCGTTCAAAAAGCCTTTCTTGATAGGGATTGGGGCTTGCAATTGTTTCCCATGAACGAATTCATTAAGGGTGCAGAGTCGTAAAGCTTGCCTATTCGTCCCTGCCCTTGTACACACGCCGTCGCTACTACCGATTGAATGATTTAGTGAGGCCTTCGGACTGGCGCTCTTGGATTGTCGGCCCCGTTGCCCGCGAGGTTTTTCTGGGGTCGTCGCCTCGAGCTGACGGAAAGATGTCCAAACTTGATCATTTAGAGGAAGTAAAAGTCGTAACAAGGTTTCCGTAGGTGAACCTGCGGAAGGATCATTAACAGAGAGAAAGAGAACGGGGCGCTCTTAAAACTACTACTACTACTCTCCTGATTTGGGCGGTCTCGGGCTCTGCTCTGGCAACTCCAGCAGCGAAAGAGGACAATCCCGGCCCCCGCACCAAAAATAGGTACCACCACGCTGTAGGTGGACCACACTCGGGCGAGAGCGCGAAGACCGGAGGAGGAGGACGGACGGGGCTTTGGACGGCTGCCCGTCCGTTCCTTACTACCGGCGAATAAGCCTCTTGACCCCAAAAGAGTGAAATTCAAGTGTCAAAAAACAACAACCAACCCGTCGTAGCCAAACAAACTTGGGCTATGTCTGTCAGGCACTTTCATTGAGACTCGACCTGTATGGTTGGTACAAAAAAGACCAAATGGCAAATACACAACTCTTAACGGGGATCACCGACAAATTGGGTCGATGAAGACCGCAACAAACTGCGATGTCGGTATGTGAATCGCAGAATACCGGAATCGCCGACAAGTTGAACGCATATTGCAGCGGCAGCAGCCGCCTTGACCATAGCCGCCACTCCTCTCTGGTGGAAATATACATCCATGGTTTTCTTTGAGTTCGATTGCCTGCTGACTGTCTCCCGACCGCGAGGTAGCGAACCGAGCTTCGCCCTGGGTTTTAATCGCCCGCGCCTTGCGCGAGGCGTGCCCTTAAAAACAAGCAAGCCTATCACTAGCAAGTCCATGGACTTGGCGCACCCACATTCAACCACAACAAAGCGACAGTTGTCGCCCTCGCAAATAACTGGAGGCGGCGCTCTTTTGCCTGCTGTCCACAGAGACACGAATGGCCGTCGGCCGCTCATGGCTGATGCTGCACATGTTCTAAGAGGCACTCCATCACACGAAGAGGAAACGAAACCGGGTCGGATATCTTTTAAGTAAGCCCCGCCGGAATTTCGTCTATCACCTCGAAAAGAGTGCTTGGCATGCATTGCAGTGGAACCTAAATTGATGAGTGCGCCTGGGCCCGCAGTCTACCATGTAGTGGTGCAGGCAGAGAGATGAGAATGCTTGGGTGACGCCGTGCTCTTCCTCACGCGCTCCTCCACCCTCTCCCACGGTCAGACGCGGTGTGGGCGTTCTCTTTGAGAGTTCGCCACGAGTCCACGTCTCTCTCATGACTGGGAGGGAGGCAGGGGGAGTTCTCTCTAAACGCGTTAAAGACGGTGTTGCGCCTCATAACGGCGCTCGCCGGGATAGAGCACTAGTTCTGCAGCCGGAAAGGCCGCTCACGCCAATTAATACTGCGACTCTCGCTCTCTTTCGCCGGATAAACAAGTGCCACTGCTGTGGCATGCGGGAACGGGGAAAGAGGTCAAAGTTTAAGCGGCAAAGGTGCGGCCGAGTAAGGGCGGAACACGAGCGTATATGCATTAAAACTGTGTGTGTATATGACTCTGCGAGAGATGTTCTGCTGGAACACTTTTCCTATTGGCTATTTACCACTCAATGAGAAGGAACGGAGTCAGGGGTGGGAGTGCCGGCGCCATGGCCGCTGGTACCCCCGCGACAAACCCCTCAAACCTTCCTGCCTGGTAATGTCGGTGGTGAAGAAAGTCGGTGGCAGAGCGTCTTCCGCTTCGTGGTTGGGGAACTTGTTCCCCCTAAGGATGATGAGACCACGATCGACCTCGTAGTAGGAGAGAGCTACCCGCCAAATTTAAGCATATTAATAAGCGGAGGAAAAGAAACCAACAGGGATTCCCTTAGTAAGGGCGA